CCCCCCCCCCCCCCCCCCCCTAGCCGTAATACCCAAGTGATGGCCTTCCTCTGTAGCACTGAGTTGCGTTGCAAATTGCAGAAAAATAGCCTCGTCTAAAATGGCCTTACAGGTTACACGAAGGCCTTGTTTTCTATTGCCTTATGTAATGTACCTAGTTATTAACCAGTTTCTACTATTCATAATAATAGCGATAAGTTACAGCATCTAATCTTTCCTTGTAAAATCAACCTGTCGTACGAAAAAAGAGTGTGTTCCAATTTGCAAGGGAAAATTGCCTCGTCTAAACTGGCCTTTAACAGGAAATACTTTCGGAAGTAAATGTTTACTAAATAGAGATTTTCAACCAACAACAATTCATCTGCGTGAATTTCCCGACCTCTGTTTGATGCGAATTAAATTGCAATTGACTTTGTTTGCATTAACAACACGGCACCAGTGTGCGGCGTGATTATGACGTGATTAAGGGAGTTTGTATTCTCGTTTTCCCAGCATGTTTCAATTAAAAACCACCATGTAATTACATTTTAATCACTGAGATTCCTCAATTATACATATACACCTCCGTCGCACCCCCAAATCTCACAACGTTCATAAATAAAACCAGTCACAGATGAATTATTACAGTCTATTTTTTCATTGGGGGATTCCAAACTAATATAGCTCTGCGAAGTCCGCAAATTTTGTATATACTTGCATTACGAGCGGGAAAAATAACCATTTTTTGAGCCGAAAGTGGTTATTTTTACCGCGCTTAATACAAATATATGACAAAAATTTGCGCACTTCACAGGACTATATTTTCTTCATTTTACAATCGTTGCGTTGCAGTTTTACTCATTCTAAGACGCTCTTTCTAGCTGTGGTGTTGGGTTTCGTTCTTCTTGCCTTGATCAAAATTTAGTCTATATAGCTGAAATCACCCATATTCCATCACTACATCACTCATCGGTGTGTATATACGTCGTCGTTGAACACATTTTCTATCGTCTTCTACGACAGTTTTTTTTATGTTTAGAACACCACGAAGGTCCACGATAACTATTATGAGATAGTAAATACAACAATCTGAGAAACTGCATGAAAGTCCTCAAATTACTTTGCCAAATTTTCTTTGTTGACGAGCAAAATTTGTACTTTGCCAATTTTTGTTCTATGACAAGTATACTAGTGCACAATTATCATTGTAAAAATTGGCAGTGGGCTGTGCAGACGAGCAAATAAAAGTACGGTCGTGAAAACTTGCTCGCCTGTAACCGGCTGAGTTTATCTATTTGGTCGCGTGTCGCAAAGCTGGTGAAGAATTTTGCCTGAACTAATTATTTCATGTAATAGTTTAGTTTTCTTGAATGTTGAGTTCCTTAAAAACATCTGATATTGATGTTGTTGTTATATACTGCCATAATTGTGCGAGTGAAGTCTTAATTACTTTGATATCATGCTCGCTTTAAAACTCATGAAAAGGCGAATGTCGTAATCCGATGTTTGTATTGCGTATTATTAAAACTCAAACCTTATCAATGTCGAGTGTTGTATTAACCATGTCGACCTAGTGTCGTGTCACTTGAGAACAATGTTGCTCAGTTCCGATCAGTGGTGCATTTTATCCAGTATCCGCCACAGTTTTTCATGGTCTCGAGACAACAACAGCTTTTGATTTTACTATAAATGACGTCTTAGACTTAGAGCAGCTTTCTCTTTTATCTTAGACGTTGTGCGTTTGGCATTGCGCAGCCTGGATGATTTGCGCAATTCCAACTTTCCGAGTTAAAAACGCGGAATCATTGACACTTTGACATATCGATCCTCCTTTTTTTCGAAAACTACGATCTCTATCAAAAATCCGATGAAACCTGTGCTTAATTGCATCTATATGGTCAAGTTGCACCGAGTCTATAAGTCTAGATTATTGGAGTCTTTTTAATCTTTAATCTGATACTCCTAAATCAGCTTACACTATACTAGGAGATACTTATATATATATATATATATATATATATATATGTATATACATTAACAAAATAACTATGAACTATATATATGAAAAACTTTAAAAGGTAAAAATGTACAATAAAAGTGACCTGCCAAAATTATGCTGATGCCCTTAATGCAGTTAGTGCAGCACTTTTAAAAGCGTTGATATTTGCAGGCAGTTCGATAAAAGGGAGATTGTTCCAGATTACAATGGTTCTTGGAGTGTACCACAATAGCTATACTATAGGTGTAGTATCACTTTCAGAGCGTTAAAAAAACCTATTTTTCCTATTTAGGTCTTTAATAAGCCTCTTTTTGAGTACGTTGAAAGAAATACACTTCAAAAGCTTTCTGTAATGCCAATGAAAGGGGAAAGTTCATTGCCATATACATTATGTTCTCTCCATCGTTTATGTACGTTTCTTGCAATTACGAAACGGACAGAAACCTGTACCAGATTATAAACGCACGACCGCACGTTAAACTTTCAGCCCAGCATTGCACTGGTTTGCAACAATGATGGATGTGATTTATTGCAAACTTTTTAACGGGATTACATTTTGAATGTTAATCATGGGTAAAATATAGCATTAGCTGCAATTAAATCGTTTTAAATGACGTTTCTTGTTTCTGTGCAAATAAGAATATTGACATAATATTTTTGCGCCATACTATATACAACGTACCATCGCGGTGTATATAGAAATACAACCCTCTAAATGATACCCCTATTAATTACATACCTTAATATTCACTAGCCAAATAACCATCCATATATAATTTGCTCTCGACATTTTAAGAAGATTAATTTGCCATTTCGAGCTGTATCACAACGTAAACACATCAACAATGCCAAAGTCTTTGATCTCGTAACGAAGTAATGATATAATATGTTTAATCTTGCTGCACCAATGCTAAAATTTGCGTTTTCACATCATACCAGAATAACGATGACCACATTTATCTTCCAACGTATAAACGTAATGTGCTTGGCAGGATTAGCTGTCCATCCTGGTCCTTTTAGCGGAGAGGGCTGATTTCAGGTGGTTTAACTTTGCTTACAGCGTACGTTTTGTGTACGGCAGATGTCGGATCAAAAATAGACTTGCGGACACATGCCCTGGGGGAGGGCTCACTTTTAGCTAAGAGATTGAATTACAAAAGGAGGCTCGATGTGTTTTCAAGTAGTAAAATCAGTCCAGTTCTGTGGCTACGGTATTAGGCTGTTCGTAGATGTATATTTTGGACGGTATATGATTACTTTCTTGTAGTATTCTACCATCAGGTAAATCAAGTTTGCAGTATTTTAATTTGATAAGGGTCTGTTTACCTTGAGATCGACTCGTCATTCTGATCCTTAATTAATATCGTACAGCAATTAATTTCACAGTGTGACAGTGGCTCACGGGAAGTCTCCGCGTTCGTGCCTTCCCTTCATGCTTCGCGCGCCTTGTTCAACCTGATTTTCATACAATCTTGAACATAACTGGTTGAGACTATATCTTTCCCTCCATACAAAATGCCCATACCCCTTATGATAAATTCCATGTCGAATGATGTTGCGCTTATTAAGGGCCCACTCTCCCAACTCAATGTTGAGCTTATACCATGGTAAATTACCAACAGTTGTTTCGGCGTTTTTACAACATTGAACGAGGGGGGAGGGGGAGACAAAGTTTGTTTTGTCAATGTGCAGTAACTTTGCAATATTGGCTAGAACGGTCAGCCAAGGGTAATATGTCCGAGATTGCATGCAGCGTCGACTGTGAGAATGCGTGTCTAATTGTGTTACTGAGCCCCTAACACGCCCTTTTTTCTCTGGAAGCTTATAAGTTTCATCGTTCTTCGGGCTGAACCAAGTGTTAACGAGGAAACCGTGTGTTCTTAGCTTATTAGGGAGCTTAAGATGTACGCGATCCGCGGACGCGACTAAGAAACAGTCGCTAATAATGGGGAGGGGGGGGGGTGAATAGGTTTTTGGATCGTTGGATTTCACAGAAAAAAATGTTCGGATTTCGGATCTGGCGAATATTTTACACGGATTTGCGGATCTTATTAATACAGCGGATTGCGGATTTATCTAATATTTTGGCTCGGATTGTGGATTTAGCTTCCAATTTAGTTCGGATCCTGGATTGTGACGTCATAGTAGAGCTTTTAGTGGATTCAAATTTAGAGAAGACCATTGTCGGATCGCGGATTTTGCTTCAAATTTGGGCGGATCGGCGGATTTGTGTACCCCTATTCACACCCCCCCCCCCAATAATGGGAAACTAGTTTACTTTGTTTTTCTCGTGTCCCTGGCTTTGTTTACCAACAACAATCCATAGTTTTTACCCGTGAAGTATCATCTTGTAACAATATTGATGAGGCCAACCGACTCGCAGCAAGTTGTTCCAACAAGTCACAGGATATCGTCTGCACGTAACAAGTTGTTCCAATAAGTCTGATATCGTCTGCGCGTAACAAGTTGTTAACAAGTTGATGACAACAAGCTCGTAGCAACCTGTTACGAACAGCCTGTATTAGTCTTGTTGGAACAACTTTAGCAAATCTGTTAACGTCATCAACCTTGTAACAAGGTGATAACAACTTGTTCCAGACTTGTCACAACAACTGGGAACAAGCAGTGCGAACACATCTTGGTATCGGCTTGACAACCAACTTTTTGTCTCATCTTTCATTAATTAAGAGTGTTGAAATCTGACTATGTACACATCCGCCTATCTCTTGCAGATCAAAGGCTTGATTGCTTAATAAGTCGTATTGTTCAACTACAGCTCGATAATATGGCTATTTCTTGTTACACGTTCTTAAATTTCTTTGCATTAATTTGCTGCACGAGACCTACGCTGTGTAATGCTGCTACTGAAGTGGATGTACTCATTCTCGGGGCAGGACTATCGGGAATCACAGCGGGCCATCATCTTCAAAACAATGGCTTCACAAATTTTCTCATACTCGAAGCTCAAGATTATGTCGGCGGGAGAATAAAGCAAGTGAAAATTGGCAATGTGACCGTGGGCGAAGGGGCGAACTGGATTCATTATGTGGAAGAGGGGGACGATAATCCACTCCTGGGCTTTGCCAACGAAATAAATCTTCGGAGACATTCGAATAACTACAGTGATTATAATCTGAGGTAAGCGAAACTAAATTAAACTAACTTTATTTATACTGGACAGCTCTATAGTTCTAAACTGTTCTTCCTAGAGATCCAGTAAGGATCATTTCTTATTGATCCAGTGTTACTAAAGGCGGAAACCTAAACTAAACCGGCTAACTTTATTTATACTGGATAGCTCTATCAGTTCTAAACTGTTCTTCCTAAAGGTCCAGTAAGATTCATCTCTTATTGATCCCGTGTTACTAAAGGCGAAAACCTAAACTAAACTAACTTTATTTATACTGGATAGCTCTATCAGTTCTAAACTGTTCTTCCTAAAGGTCCAGTAAGGTTCATCTCGTATTGATCCAGTGTTACTAAAGGCGGAAACCTAAACTAAACTAACTTTATTTACACTGTCTTCCTAGAGGTCCAGTAAGGTTCATCTCTTATTGATCCAGTGTTACTAAAGGCGGAAACCTAAACTAAACTAACTTTATTTACACTGTCTTCCTAGAGGTCCAGTAAGGTTCATCTCTTATTGATCCAGTGTTACTAAAGGCGGAAACCTAAACTAAACTAACTTTATTTACACTGTCTTCCTAGAGGTCCAGTAAGGTTCATCTCTTATTGATCCAGTGTTACTAAAGGCGGAAACCTAAACTAAACTAACTTTATTTACACTGTCTTCCTAGAGGTCCAGTAAGGTTCATCTCTTATTGATCCAGTGTTACTAAAGGCGGAAACCTAAACTAAACTAACTTTATTTACACTGTCTTCCTAGAGGTCCAGTAAGGTTCATCTCTTATTGATCCAGTGTTACTAAAGGCGGAAACCTAAACTAAACTAACTTTATTTACACTGTCTTCCTAGAGGTCCAGTAAGGTTCATCTCTTATTGATCCAGTGTTACTAAAGGCGGAAACCTAAACTAAACTAACTTTATTTACACTGTCTTCCTAGAGGTCCAGTAAGGTTCATCTCTTATTGATCCAGTGTTACTAAAGGCGGAAACCTAAACTAAACTAACTTTATTTACACTGTCTTCCTAGAGGTCCAGTAAGGTTCATCTCTTATTGATCCAGTGTTACTGCAGGAGGAAACCTAAACTAAACTAACTTTATTCAGTTAGTACTAGATAGCTCTATATATCAGTTCTAAAGCGTTCTCCGTAGAGGTGCAGTAATTAAGGCTCATCTCTTATTGATCCAGTGTTACTACAGGAGGAAACCTAATTAACTAAACTAACTTTATACTGGTAGCACCTCTATCAGTGTTTATTCCGCAGTTCTGAACTGTAAACATTTATCTCAAGTCAAGGCCGCCTTTTGTTCACCAAAACCATAGACTAGTATTTGTTATACACTTATCAAGTTTTCCTTGGCGGCCCTACACACGAACAAATTTTCCTTGTCCAAAAGCTGGCATGACTAGTTTTGGAACAAGAATGGCAAGGAATTGGAAAAATTTATCGTACACACGCGAGCAAATAAAACTTGTCAAGTAAAATATGCCCGTCTGTACGGGGCTTTAATCAGTGTTGACGAAACCCATTTCACTTTATTTGTTCACAGAAATTCTATTCACGACAAAGAAGATCTTAGAAAAACTTTGAAAAACTTTAAAGAAATAGAAGAGAAAATTGTCGAGGAAAACGAAAAGAACCCGCGAAACGGGGACCAGCCTTTGGGCGCCTTGTTGGCACAGAATGGCTGGCTCCCAGACACAACCTTAAAACGAACTGTCGACTGGTGGTATCTGGACTTCGAGTTTGCTGTAAAACCAGCAGAAATCTCTGTCCGTCATTTTTCGGGCCTACCCCAGGTAAATGACATCATCACGGACTCCCGAGGCAATAAAGGAATCATCGATCACTTGGCTCAAAACATCACGAGTAAAATTAAAACGGAGAAAGTCGTCAAGCAAATCAAGTATGACTCAAGCGGAATCGAAGTGCGCACAAGCGATGGCGAAATCTTCAAGGCCAAGTATGGTTTGTGTACATTCAGCACCGGCGTCTTGGCCTCGGATCTGGTGGAGTTTATTCCGGAGTTGCCCAAATGGAAGAGAGACGCCATAATCAGAATTCCTCTCGCGTACTATACCAACATTTACGTGAAGTTTCCAAACGCGTTCTGGGAAGACAACGAGTTTATCTACAACGCTGGGTCATTTACTGAGGCGTTCCCCGCCCTGTATAATCTGAACAAGAAAGGAATTCACGAAGGGTCAAATATTCTGTTATTTACTGCAGTCGAAGATCATTCTCTTCGCATCGAGGCACAAAGCGAGAATGAGACGAAGGCCGAAGTTATGAAAACATTGAGAGAAATGTATCCGAATGTCAATATTCCAGAGCCCACAGGTAAAGCAGATCTGGTCATTGGAGAATTCAATCAGAAGTTTATATTGCTACATTGCACGTAAAAACGAACAAGTTGTAACAAATCTGCATGCGCAGCAGACACTCTGCAACGTTATTCCTAGCCTGCGAGCAGGCTCTCTAACACAACAGACTAGAGTTGTCTCAACTTACAAATTGTTCCAACAACTTGTGAACAGAATGTGTTCGCACTGCTGTTCCCAACTTGGTGACAAGTTGTCAACGGCTTGCTGACAACTCGCTACAAGGTTGTTGAGCTCAACAGAGTTGTTCCAAATTGTTCCAACAACTTGTTATCGTCCTGCAATTCAACAATTTGTCAATAAATTGTGAATGACAATCTTGAGCAACTTGATACAATAACGGCATTGTTACAACTTGTTGACAAGCTCGCTACAAGGTTGTTGAGCTCAGTAGACTTGTTCCAAGTTGTTCCAACAACTTGTTATCGTCCTGCAATTCAACAATTTGTCAACAAACTAAGTTGTGAGTGACAATTGCAATCTTGTAGCGACTTCATAAAATAACAGCATTGTTACAACTTGTTGACAACCTTTGCTAGAAGGCTTTTGCGAACACAACTCGTTGACAACTTGTGAGAATTTTACGTGTGTAAAAACACAAAATCTATTGAATTTTTAGAGATCTACGTTGGTCAGTTCAATCAAAATCCCTACGTACGTGGTTCGTATAGCAATGCCGTTGTTGGTGCTACGTTCGCTGACTTTGATAATTTGCAAGGTCGTTTGGGTGGCCTGTTCTTCGCGGGAGAGGCAACCGACGTGGATTACTGGGGGTATATGCAGGGGGCTTATATTACTGCTTTAAAGCAAGCAAAGGTGATCGTCAGCTGTCTAAATGGAAAGGAATGTCCCGAGTATGAGCCGAAGGATGATGATATATGTAAAACTACAAACGAGGCTAGTCCTAGCGCTCGAAATATTGCCCTGTCTTCTTTAGCTTGTATTTTCTTGCTTCTCTCTGTCGTGTTTAACTGAGATTTGTGTTGTTTTTCCTATATGCATCTTCTTATGAAAATTTCACATATGATTAGTCACATGTCAAAATACCTTTTCAAAACTTGTTAATTAAGTGATCCAATTCCACATATTAAAGAATAATTTCACATGTGAAATTCATTTAATTCACATATGAACCTTTATTTATACCTCGATCAGGACATAGCCTATCGAAAAGAAGATGGCTGTCTCACATCTTGTAGCAAGGCTGCCAACAAGCCGTGAACAAGTTGGGTTCGCACTGCTTGTCCCAAGTTGTCAACAAGTTTGCAACAAGCTGTCAACAACTTGTAACAAGCTTGTTGATAATATCAGACTTGTTGCAAGGTTGTTTCAACAAGTCTGATACAGTCATGATATAATAATATTGTTACAACCTTGTGTCATCAAGTATCAGACTTGTTAGAACAACCTTGTAACAAGTCTGATAATGCCATCAAGCTTGTCACAAGTTGTTAACAGCTTGTTCCAAACTTGTTACAACAACTGGGAACAAGCAGTGCGAACACAACTTGTCGACAGCTTGTGAACAGATTTTTAACAACTTATTTGCAGACCTGCAACAACTTGTGCGTTTTTACGTGTGTAACCAATAGCAATGTTTTAGGAACGTTACCTATCCGTGACTCGAACAATTGGAAAATACAATTGGTGGATTTGGCAAAAATACAATGCACACGGACTAGATTTATGAATAAACATTGACTGACATACTGTAGAGCTCGACAACAGGCACCTGTATAGCTCAGTTGGTTAGAGCGCTGCACCGGAATCGCCGGGGCGCAGGTTTGATTTCTGGCAGAGGGCCACAGGATGGCCGCGGTCGGTTGTTTCTAAACGACGTATTGAGTAACAAACTTATGTTTTTAGACGAAATTTCCTCGGTGATAAGTCAAAACTGCGCGACATACAATCATGGAAAACAAGCACAGGATGATTTGAACCTTGCGCTCTTGAGATGTAGCCTGCACGCAGACTCTATATAATCTCATATATATGTTATAGTGACAAACTTATTCTTTTTCCACAGATAATCGTAAATGGTGACCCAAACTGTATCGACCATCAAATATTTTCAAATGCATGAACGTATGAAAAATATATCTCTTATATCTATTTCTCGTGAACTACAATCAAGTTAAAAACTACGGTGTGCTACGGTGTTTAAATTTTAAATTTCGTCGGTATAGACAGGGTTTGGTGCCTGAGTGCCTCCCCTTTGCAGCACGCAAAACAAGATTTTTTGACCTGATACGCAGAGTCAATCTATGAATAATTTTTTCATTTGCTCGCATGCAGGGCTGTCTGGCCGCGAGAGCCTGGAACTGGATCTTCTTCGAAAACAATCCCAAAATGGCTGCCTCGATTGGAAAAATTGAATCGGGAACAGGAGACGCGATTTCTCGCTTGTATCCCAAAGTTGATGAGTCTGAAACGCCTTTACCAAGGTCTTGGAGTCCCAAGGATAAATGTACATTCATCGGTTTGTCTCAAACGAACTTGAGAGTCCATTACAAAGGCAAGTTTTGTGACGCATTTTTGCTGTGTGATATTTTCATACCACATTATGACGCCATACCCTCGGCTGTGGTCATGCTTATTCGCTTTTGTTTAATACTTTGTAGACATCATCTGGATTTTTTTATTAAAAGATAAAATTCTCAGGCATTCAATGTGTATTTTTAGCGTAATTTTATACCTATATTAGGCTTTTAAATATACCAAATATTTTGTGTCGATATTGTTTCAAATAAATATTGTGCGAATGGAACAATACGACTTTAGATTTTAAAATATTCTTGCTTGCTTTACAAACAAGCATAATTTGAAGTTGTAAAACTGAAGTTTTTAACAATCGGGTCATTCCAGAAAAGATCCTTACAACTCCCGCAGATGGAATTTCTGACTTTCGGAGGGGGTAGCTGGGTAGGCGTGCTAACCTCCAATTTCCTTTGTGGGGGTGGTGTGGATGTTTTCCGGAATGACCCATCGTATTGAGTACATGGCATGATGTAAATGTAATGAATAATTATTTACCAATTATTAACTAAAAATTGGTGTATACACCCCTATACACCACATTGGGTTTGGCTACCTCACAGACATCTTTTAAACTTATAAAACAAATAAACTTGGCATTCTTTGTAGCAGTAAACCAACAACGAGAGAAAAAGTTTCATAAACTAAATCTCCTGCAGACTAAAATCCCCTATAAAACGTGAAAGTAAGACATAACATTAGAAACAGGCCAGATGTTTAGTACTAATATATCATTTGCGCCTGATAAACGCTATATAAATGCTACAAATTATTTTTGGAAAACAAAAAAAAGCCAACTTTCTTTGTTTTTATGAAAAGTCGTCGTGAGGACTACGAGATTTCTCCACAATTTCGTACTCAGATGGGCGACGGCTATGACTTTTTTCTCGTCATCACGGGATGGCGTAAGCATACAGCATGCGTTTCGCTTGACGAATCTCGTACTCGTAGTCATACTCGTAGTCGTACTCATAGTCAAATCTAAAGCTCCCTAATTAATGAGGAAGTGTTGGGCATTACATGTAGTGGATTAACCCATTGAGTCGCATTGCACCCTGATGCGCCCTACTTTATTATATTACTCTGTCTAATGCCAGCTGATTTTACTTGTCAAGGGGAGACTGCTGGTGCTTAATGGTTAAACTAAATTCCAAATGGACTGCATTGAAACAAATTATCAAAATTGTTGAGTAATAGCATGTATTCTGTTTGTAGGTGTTGGTAGAACTCACAAGGATGCTGCGGCAGTAAGGACGAGTCATTCAATACCCGCATCATGTGGACTTTACTATTTTGAAATCAAAATTATTAGCAAAGGAAGAGATGGGTAAATTTCAAATTTTTATCACATAAAATTTGTCTTTAATTTAATATGTGGATAAGTACTGTGTATTTCCTTGCGACATCTGTTTTGTGTTATGTTTTAGATATATGGGGATTGGTCTTTCTGCAAATGGAGTAAACTTAAGTAGACTGCCAGGTATTTCTTAGCTCCTTACTGAATCACACCTCTATTAAAACAGAACTGTTTGTTCATCAAACAGTCAGGGTCTGAAATTTATATTTTTTCTCAGCATCCAACTGGCATACCAGGATTCAAAGTTTAGTATCCCCCTGAGAATGCAGTATCCCACTTCTGGATACTGGTTACCATTATTATTATACCCTGTCCCATTGAAATAAGTTTCCATAACTCTTCACAGTTACAAATTACAATAACAACAGGAGATTCAACAGTGAACAACTAGACAATTCATTAATGCACAAAAATGCACATAATATGAGGAACGGCTTGGGTGGCAAACTCATAGTATTCAAAAGCAATCAGGAGACTGTCACATGTGCTTAACATTTTCCTAATGTTTGAAATTTTTGTAGTATCCAGTTGGGATATAAGTCATTCACAGTTTGATATTCAAAACCAAATTTTAGTATTTTGTGGATATTGGGATACTGCAAATTTCAGACCCTGACAGGGTCCAAGGTCTATAACAAGCTTTTGTTGGTAGGGAAAAATATAAGGAGAATTTCGATGTTTCGAGCAAAGGCGCTTTGTCTGGAATTTGTACGTAGGTAGTAATTCACCTTCGCTCTAAACGTCGAAATGCTCTGTATATTTTTCAAGTAGTTGCATCCTACATACATGTATCCCTTTATCTTTTCGAGGCTGGGAGAAACAGTCGTATGGTTACCATGGTGACGATGGCAATTCATTCTCATCGTCTGGCACGGGCAAACCCTACGGTCCAACTTTTACTACTGGTGATGTGATTGGCTGTGGTGTGAATATGATTGATAATAGTGCCTTTTATACCAAGAATGGAGTTAAACTTGGTAAGAACAAAAAATGACATCTACCATTATTTCCTTTATCACCATTGTGACCATCATAATCACCACCAGTTATGGTGACAGTGGTGATCATTTTGGTGATGGTGATAATGATGGTGGTGACAGTACCTCTACCATCATTAGGCGTAAAAAAATACCTGTGGTTCTGGTTCCCGACTGACCCTATTTTTTTCTGCCGACCCTATTATTTTTTCAATACGATTGACCGTGCGACCCTATTTTCTCCAGGTGGTTGCAGGCTGCTCATACAGCGTGCCAAAATGGCGTCTGTTGTCACACTAATTATTGAACCAAGTTGCCTAAATTCATCCATTGGAAATACGCATCTCTAGTTAATATTGATGTCGGAACTACTGAAAATCGCCCAGCAAAAAAACGACAAAACCATGAAAAAAATATTCAAAAAAAATTTATTTCCGACCTACCGACCCTAATTTTTTCACGATATGAAACCGGAACCACAGGTATTTTTTTACGCTTTAGCAGCAGCATCACCATCAAAATGATCATTGTGATTATCATCACCAAAATGATTGTCACCATTACCCCTTCTTACACCACCATCATCAATGCCATCATCACTATCATGGCCACCATATAAACATCACCATTCACTACCATCACCATAATCATTGTGATCACCACAGTTCATTAGAGTAGTACTGTCTCTATGGTACTGTACCATTATCACCATCATCACAACCACTGTCAGTGCCACCACCTTAACATGATTACTGTACGTCTGTCATGATTATCATCATCATACATCAAAACCATCACAAGGAGGATATCAGTACCACTCTCACCATGCAAGTTCTATAATATGTTTGTATTTACAAGAACCTCTTGTTTTATTTCAGGGACTGCTTTTACAGATTTGCCTGTAAGTTGTCAGCACTTTCTTTGTATACTGTATATGGTTGGTTTTTTTTATAACTATATGTGTATAAAACTAAACTAAACTGAACAGCTAACTGTACTGATGGAGTCTCTCTAATTAGTCTGTGTAGCAGGCAATTGCTTGCAAATTCTTGATTGGAGCTGGGCAGGAGGTGAAAGCCCGACTGTCAGCCTGCATTTGCTAACAAACGCTTGTTTTTACCCATTTAGCCAAAGTTATATCCGACTGTTGGACTTCAAACGCCTGGTGAAATCGTTGATGCAAATTTTGGACAAAGTCCGTTTGTCTATGATATGGCAGAGGAGTTCAAGGTATATTTGTTATGTTGAATGTGTAAATTTTTATCTGTACAGTATAAGTTGCCGCTCCAGGCATTTAATTTCGTAAATATCGGGATTATCAGGGATATTTTCAAGCACTTTCTACTACCGGTACACGGTAGTAAATACTCAATCTTCAATTGAGTTTTGAAACTCAATCTTCTTCCAAAAAAGGGGGTCTTTTTACAATTAATGTAAACGTTTCATTAAAAACGTGTTTTCCTATATAATTTTGTTCAAAAAGCTGTCGAAAACTGTTTCAGTTCTGAGACACAAAATTCTCGTAGAGGAATACTCATACCCATGCAAACTAGAAATGTGTACCACAAGCAGGGCGGCACATTATCTATTTTGAGAAATAGTTCAAAAAGTCTGGCACAAATGAACCATTTGTCGGTCCCGATCGTCCGGTGCAAACATTACGCAAAATTTTGTATCCGTGAGATTTATTTTTTGGAAAGTGTCCTCAAGATAATAAGTAAGGTTACAGAATTGCCAATTGCCATTATACACTGCCTGAATCAACTTCCTTTCTGTGCTCTACAGCCAGCTGATGGCCAAACTAGAGTTTGAAAATGCCATTTCCGACGATCTAGAGACTTCAAAGTTTCAAAATTTGTCCATGGTGGCGCCTCGTGTAACTCCCACTTCCAAAATGTAAACACGTCAAAAGTTGGTCCCGAAATATTTTACACCCCTCCAAAATATTTTGGAATGTGCGCCCCTGAAAATTATTCTTTAATGTCCTCTTTAATGTCCTTCTTTAATCGCAATATTAGGGAAATTTATCTTTAGATGTGGAAGCACTGACTAAACAAAATGGCGTCCGCTTGTTCGGAAAATTAAAAAAAAGTTTAAAAAAAAAGTTAAAACCGACCTACCCTACCTAAGTTTTTATAAGAAGAAACCGGAAACCCACATTATTTTTTTTGGCCTAACTTTCTCATGTAGCATTCTAAGGAAAGTTTGTTTGTTAATTTAGGAACTACAAGCGCAAATTGATAACACTATAGAGACATTCCATGATAAACATACTTGCTGCAGGCAAGCTGCAATGCAAAGGTACAACGAAAATATTGATGATTATCTTACTCATATTGGTGGGCCTTAATGGGAGTCAATTGTCAGCTAAAATTCAAGCTTTGTTCTACTCCTAGGCTGGTGTCAACATATTTAGTCCATCACGGCTACTCCGCAACGGCTGAAGTGTTTGCTCAAACTACGGGGCAGCCGATCTCAGAAGATCTTGCGTCGATTAAAAACAGGCAAAGTACGTGGAAGCCTTTTATTTGTTCTAAATTTTAAGCAGAAAATGATTGAATTTTTGCAGGCGCGCACTTCGGAACGCTTCTTATCTCGTAAAAGTGTGCGTTTTCCACGCGTCACATTTGTTTTTGACAGGGTTATTTTTTATTATAAAATCGCGCGCCTTTCGTTTGATTGTTGAAACTGTTTGTCAGGTCTGTGTGTGTTAGGGGCGGATCTAGCCTCATCTGCAAGGAGGGGTGCAGGTTTTGCATGGGGTGGTGCATGAGGGAGCCTTACTGCCCACTCTCCTCTGTAGTCTGCAACGCTACTATCCCAACATTTCCATTATTTGAGATGGCCGAATCACAGAATAGATGCCAGACCAGAAGGGACACTCCTATGTGTTTTGGCTGAAGGAAAACGTCCGAAATTTTTTTTCGTGCTATGACGCCATCCTGGAGTGCACACGGAACTTTATACCTATGTTTTCCTATGAAAAACTTCCGTTTGCACTCCAGGATGGCGTCATATGATGGCGTATTTTCACGTCAGCACTCGTAAAATTTCGGACAAAATATCGTCTGAGTGACACTTCTGGTTCTGTATCTATTATGTGGCCGAATCTGCATGTTTTGTATTTGAGATGGCCGAATCTGCATTCCGTTTTACATTGTCTTTTGTTTATAAAGTTTATATCGGCTTTTTATTACGTACTATGCGTGACTGGACAGTCGCTGTAGCACAGGACAGTAAATTTGCTTGTTAAAGTACAGTATATTTGAAAATATGGCTGTATAACAACCTCGACATTACAAATTTAACCAAGATATCTGAGTATTTTCTCGTGAGCTCACAAATCAATTAAATCGTTTCAAGAAATCGACACGCGCTAACAGTAGAAGTTCCGTTAATCGCGTTTCGAAAAGCAGAAAAAGTATGGTCGAGCAGATTGTTTTAGGGTGGTGCTGAACTTCTCTAGGGGGAGACTCTAGACTCTGCTCATTGTCAGGCCCGTTTTCCGAAGGTTCATTCTCGTATGCCAACGACGTTATGTACATTTTTCATTTAGGAATACAAAAATTGGTCTTAGCAGGTCGGGTAGGGGAAGCAATCGAAATGACACAAAAACTGTATCCCGGCTTACTCGAGCGAAATCAAAATCTCTTATTCCTCTTGAAATGCCGGCAATTTGTCGAGATGGTCAGCGGTCACGACAGCGAGGTGCGGGGACCTGGTGCCTACAGTCCGTCGCGTAGCAACAAGTCTAGCCCGTGTTCCAGCCCCACGCACCCCCACAGCAGCAGTAGCGGGGGGAACAGTCTTAATTCCTCGCCACATTCCAGTAACGGTTTCGTATCTAATGGCGTTCAAAATGGCGTCGGCCGTGACGTCGAGACGTTAATGGAAATTGAGGAGGAACACGAAGCGGAAATTCCGAGAAATGGAGTGCTCAATGGAAGTGCATCGCAAGGAGAGATTTCCTGCAGTCCAAGGCGAGGTAATACTTAGATTCAATGCTATTTTCCACTTCAACCGTATCGTACCGAAGCGCAGTGTATTTCTTTGTTTCCTGGGGCCGCTTGTATAAAACTCTTAATCACTTTTTTAATCACTATTTTGTAGTTAAATAGTAATTAACTCTCAAATACGCGCTTCTTATTGGATAACGTTTCCACTAACTATAGTTAACTTTAATCACTTTTTTATACAACCGGGTCCCTGAACACTAGAGTGAAACTAATGACTTCGACACGAGCGAAAATGTTACCATACGTTACGATATGGTTGAAGTGGGGGACAACCTTTAAGGCCCATTTCTACTTTGGAAAATTTTTTGCAGAAAGAAAATTTTGTAAAATGTGATTGGCCGACACAAATTTTCCGTTGGAAAGAAATTTTTGAAGTTCAAAATTTTCAACTTTTCTGAAAATTTTCTGTCCGTGGAAATTTTTCTTGAGTGGAAATGGGCCATAGTACTGGTTGTGGATAGTCCGTCTGGGCGAAGCCTATGGGGTTTCGGTGGCGCATTCTTCAAAAGCAGGCGTCTTTCACCTTTGAGATCGTGGGCTCGATTCTCGCTGCGGGACTCATGACACTTACGTGTGAAAGAGTCAGTCAATACAATACAATACAATAATTTATTGAACTCTCCCCAACGGGGCTTTTCGGAGCCAATTAACAACAAGATATACTAACATGAAATTCTAACTAACTAATTACTGGTATGGATGTAAAAATTGTTAAAGGCCAAATGCTACTATGAATGATTTCCTAAAAGATATTTACGTAATTTATGTTTAAAAATGTTAACTGATGAACTACATTTAATGTTCTCTGGAAGTTCGTTCCATAAGGAGACAGCACGGCACCGTTGGCCAGTTGCACTCCTGAAAAAGGGGATGTTTAAAGAACTTGAGTTCCTCGTGCAACGTCCACTGATGTCGACTCTCCTCACAAATTGTTGAGACAAAGATTCCGGTGTTATTCCGTTTAGACATTTGAATGTCAAAACAGCGTCACGGTAGAGTAAGAACAGTTTAACGGGAAGTCAACGCTCTACCGAAAATTGTGGGTTTTCGCCGGGCACTCCCGTTTCCTCCCAAAGGGAATGTTGACAGGGTGGATTGGGATTAGACCCTTAGCTGACCCTTACACCGTGCTTCGTGTGATCAGACATGAGTCACAAGGTGGTTGCCAGGGGCGCCCTTAGAAAGCCTTCGATTCAATCAGGTTGAGCTCAATGAGCTGCGTCTCCTTCGCAATTCAAGGGAAGGGTCTTGCATACGAATTAAGCTGCCCATACTTGGTGAACAGTACCGAAGCTGGATTTTGGTGGATAGATAGATAGATCAACTTTATTTAAACACATTGGCCTTTTCAACAAAAGCTGATTTCCAAAAGGGATGTGTACTTACAAATTATTATTTATATACTAGCTCTAATATTATATACATAACAAATACAATTATATACCTATTTAGACAAAAAATTAACTACTACTTTAAGTCGAGATTAAGGTCGAGGAAGATAGCTTTTTACAGAACGAATTATACGATACCGAATTGCGTATCTCTTCAGGTATCTGATTCCATAGTTTAGCCGAGTGGGGGAGGTGCAAAAAATTTAGGGGTGGTGCAGTGGTCTAGCTCACGACCCCCATGGAAAGTTAGGGCTTAGAACGGGCCGAAGTCGACGACGTATGCGTGTAGTGTACATATGTATCAGTGTATTAATGAATTATGACTGCACAACTCATCCAATTACTACAAAGTTTCTTTCAAAACATTGCATCAAAAGGGTACTTGACACAGAGATGAATGGCTATCACTGTTTCAATTTTCCAACCAAACTTTCTTACGAAGTGTAGACCCTAAGCAACCAAAAATGTCAAATTTTCACTTTGATCTATCATTGAAACTTTCCCAAGGGAAAGTGAAAGTGCATGACTTTTCAGGGGAGGTGGAAAAATTCTCAGGGGAGGTGCAAAACGATCTCAGGGAGGTACACATCTCCCCACAAAATCCGGCCATGAACAGTACTTGGACATGCACTAACATCTTTTTCCCGCATTTTGTTTTCAAGAAGCGACACAGAAACGTTCGTCGTGTGTGTTAGTGAATAGTGATTTAATTGAGAAAATACTGGCGTATGGTCGAGAACTAAAACTACTGAGTGTTGAATTAAAACAAGAACATGGCAGTAATCCTGCCAACATAAGAGCATTAGAGGTACAGAACGTGATAGAGCTATCCTGTAGAAATAAAGTTAGTTTAGTTTAGGTTTCCTTCTGTAGTAACACTGGATCAATAAGAGATGATCCTCACTGGACCTCTAGGAAGAACAGTTTAGAACTGATAGAACTATCCAGTATAAATAAAGTTAGTTTAGTTTAGGTTTCCTTCTGTAGTAACACTGGATTAATAAGAGATGATCCTTACTGGACCTCTAGGAAGAACAGTTTAGAACTGATAGAACTATCCAGTATAAATAAAGTTAGTTTAGTTTAGGTTTCCTTTTGTATAGTAACACTGGATCAATAAGAGATGATCCTTACTGGACCTCTAGGGAGAACAGTTTAGAACTGATAGAACTATCCAGTATAAATAAAGTTAGTTTAGTTTAGGTTTCCTCCTGTAGTAATACTGGGTCAATAAGAAATGATCCTTACTGGATCTCGAGGAAGAACAGTTTAGAATCGATAGAGCTTGTATCTAGTTTAAAGTTAGTTTTAGGAACGAACTCTCACATTGGATTTTCATCTTTCTCCTATGTTTCTTTAGGATGCATTTAGTTTGCTAGCTTATAATGATCCACACAATAGCCCTGTGGCATATCTACTTGATCCTACGCAGAGAGAACCAGTGTGTTCTGCTTTAAACAGCGCTATACTAGGTAAGCTCATCTATGACTACAATATTTATAATTATTTGTGTGAAGATCAAGCCCAGAAAAATTAAAGGCTGGTTTATATTATCAAAGTTTCTGTGATCACAGTCGGAATTTTGCAGAGGTATAAAATCCTAAGTTTTGAAGGATTTGTAAGAAATGTTTGAGGGAATTACTGACTCGGTGTTAAACAATGATTAATTTGGATTTACCCCTCGGCGAAGCCAATTTGTTAATTGTTCAATTTAGATTACAGATTGTAATGTAGATTACAAATTGTACAAATTGTGATCTTTCTGTGGTTTTGTATGTACAACGTATAATCTTTGTCTTGTAATGTTTTGGTGGGACTTACTGTAATAAGGGACTTATGTTCTGTTTTTCCTACCATCGATCTTTATGTACAAGTTAAAACATTCGCAGTACCTGTTTTATCAGACCTAAAGATACTTTATATGTCATAAAACACTGCTGCTCATTTTTTAAATAGCTTCAAAAACGATCGATCTAGTAAGTTCATTGGCGAAGTAATTTTCAAAAAATACGTCGTTTAAGTCGAGAAAATCAAAGTTAAAGTTTATGTAAATGAAGAGAAATCCCCTTTGCGACACGCTTATGATTTTTCTTTGTGTTTTCCTCTTGAATTATTAATGAGTTTTTGATTATGATTGTTGAATAATTTTAAAAATAAAATGGCTGGTAAAAAAATTTCTTACAAATCCTTCAAAACTTAGAATTTACCCATGCAAAATTTCTACTGTGATCACAGAAACGTTGATAGTGTTAGCCAGCATTTGGAATATTATAAATGAGGATTGCAAGATATACTGTACGTTAGTAGCCAAAATGACTACAGAACCAAATCCTGCTCTGCCCATGGCCCTAACAAACTTCTTTTTTTTTCTCTAGAATCTCAAGATCTACCTCGACAACCTCCCCTAGAACTCTGTCTCGGACAAACGCTAGAATGTTTAAAACTTATGGCGAAATCAGGACTTGGCGCTTGTGCTTTTACGAGTCTAGATGGAGTATTACACGGGTAACATCTGAGCCTTTATTGTAAATATACACTGATAGTTTTTAACACAATTAATAACAGATATACGGTTGCCAGAGGGGCTTTTCATAAATATTTAAAGAGGGAGGTGTTTTTAAATACAAGGAAAAGATAGGGAGGCATTTGTCACAATTAGTGGGTTGATGCCTGGGCCAGGATATCCACCCTTTGGTGAAATTCAACGACTTTTCCAGGACTTTCAAGGACCTTTTTCAGTAAATTCAAGGATCTAGAACTGGGAAAAATCTTTGAAAATGGCAAGGATTTGCCATAAATAATCCACTTTATCTAGTAATTTTCATCAAAATCACTAACGTTGGCACAGCTGGTGGCTAAGGAAATTAATTCCAGGACTTTTAAGGACTTCTACTGATTTTCAAGGACTTCCTCTGATTTTCAAGGACTTTCCAGGATTTTCAAGGCTCGTGGACGACACCCTGGCAGGCTTTTAGCCAAGGTGTTGAACCTGGCTGTCCAATAAATATTGTGAGTGTGGCAACCTATTTTTGTGGACGTGGTAAAAATGGCGGTTGAAATATTTTCATATACTTATTTCGAGGTATTCAAGATGGCCCATTTATTAAACGGTATCCGTCCATGGGACGGTCCCTGGCTAAACGAGATATTTTTTGATCGCAAGAGCTGATCAGTCAGTAGTAACTAAATGTATTCTTCGTAGCTTTGCCAGTTCTACCTACAGATTACCCTGGATTCCAGAGCCTTCGACAGTAAATAATAAATTGAAATGTCGCGAAGGCTCTGGTTCAACTGGGCGATTCTTTGATTAAACCGCGCCAATCACAAAACAGAATTAGTGGTTTTAGTACAGATTCTGTACAGATTCTGTACTAAAACCACTAATTCTGTTTTGTGATTGGCGCGGTTTAATCAAAGAATCGCCCCGTTGAAATAGAGCCTTTGCGGCGACATTTCAATTTATTATTTACTGTCGAAGGCTCTGGAATCCAGGGTACCTACAGATAAACTCGTTAATAATTCAGGAGGAAAACACAAAGAAAAATCATAATTAGGATGTTGGGGGT